TGAACTAATAAAACAGCCGCCAGCTGCGGACCACTAGCGATCAAGCAGTGGAAATTCAAAAAAAAAAAAAAAAAAAATGTTATCTTTCTATTCAAGTTCTTTTCAAGTAGATTTTAATTTTTTTTAGTTCTATAAATTTATATAATTACAAAAACTTATCTAAGTTTGCATTATCCAATACTAGTTTGCATCTTTTTGTCTAATTAAAATTATACAGATACCCCATAACCAGTCAGTTATACTAGTGCAATCATAGTTACAAATACTGTATCTTATCCTAACTAATTAATAAATAACATTGTTATAATACAATGTATTATATAAGTAATTGTCAAAATTTTCACAATTAATGAGTTTTAAACTCACAACTTATCACTTAAAAATTAACAACTTATTCACTTTACTAAATCATTACGCTTCTATTATGAATTATTAAATTTATTATCAAATATATAAAATCAAATTTAATAACATTATTAACAGTCTTCTAACCCAATTTAATTCAAAAATCATAATACTACTAAATTTTGTACCATTACTATTTTAACTATAAATTAGTTTGTATTTTTATTATTATTATTATTATTTTATATAAAATAAAATATAAAACAAAATATAAAACAAAGTATGAAATGAAGTATAAAACAAAATATGAACCAAAATATGAGCCAAAATATAAAACAAAATATAAAATAAAATATAAAGCAAAGTATGAAGTGAAATATAAAACAAAGTATAAAGCAAAATATAATGCTGTAATGTAAAATATGAAAAAATATGAAGTGAAGTATGAAGCGAAGTATGAAGTGAAATATGAAGTGAAATTTGAAGTAAATATAAACGAAGTATGAGGTAATTTATTTAATTAATCGATGATATTGGATTGATTTCTGACAATCACAGATCGTATGATCTATAAGTCGGTTACACCTGATCCTGCACCCTGATTGGTGGATCGGGAGGTGACATTTAGCACTCTATTTAAATAATGTAAAGTTCAATTCGATACTTTTGAAGCCATTTTTGTCTTAGAAAATACTAAACTTTCCGAGAAAAATCTGCATTTAAAACAATAACGACATTAGGAAAAAAAAGTGATAAAACTATAAAATAAATAGTGAAAATCTATGAAAGGTAAGAATTCATTTCGATATTATGGAAATGGCATACTAATTCCAGCTCAGTCTTTCGTTTTGTTCTTTTTAAATCTCGTCTGGTTTTTTAACTTTTATGAAGGTTTCGTCAGGTTTCGCTCTTCTTTATTTCCAATTTTAAATTTCGCCTTTCATCAGAGGAATTTGGGGTTTCGTCAGGGTTTCATCTTTCACTACGCAAGAAAGGTTTCGTCAAACAACTGTATTTCAGAGAAAGTTCTTCAATATTATGAAGGCTTGAAAAATCATGATCGTTATTATTTAGCTAAAGCCATAACATTAGGTTTAGTAAAATAGTTCGCGCTCCTAAAACGGTCCTCTTTTATTGGGCCGTTGAATTTATTCATAGAGTTTATTTCATATTAGTTGAGTCGTCGCGTAAGGATCATAAATATCAAGCGCAACAGTTACTTTCCGTCATTCTTGATGTGCGGCATTCTTCGAGCAATAGTGCATCGACATTCAGAATTGGCCTTTCCGGTCCTCCCGGTGTAGGAAAATCTACATTCATCGAACGTTTTGGAATGCACATTCTTTCTCAAGGTCATCGTGTAGCTGTTCTTGTAAGGGATTTGTTATTACATTATTTTCCTATCCTATTCCTGTTGATTTACTGTAAGTTAAGTATTGTTCTACTCTTTTTTGCTAGGCCATAGATCCATCTTCATCTCGGACAGGTGGATCTATTTTGGGTGATAAAACCCGTATGCTTGAATTGTCGCGGCAAGATAACGCGTATATTCGGCCATCTGCAAGTCACGGTACACTCGGTGTGTTGATATTTAAAAATTATATTGAGAATTATATTTTTTGGTTGCATTTTTCATTCGACCACTAATTTCTTTCCAGGTGGTGTAAGTCATTGAAGATATTAATGTGTGTTAGTAATATTGTTAACTCTTTATGTGCACCTTATAATGGTGCTTAGAGTGTCTTAAAGTGTCTTAGAGTGTGTAAAAATATTTACTATCCTTATAAGTATGCATGTTGGTAAAACCTATGGGATTGGACAAACCCTGACAAATAGGTTTGTCCACCCATGCTTCAAAATCCTATATGGCAAATCCCAATCCAAAATTCCAAACCTCATCCCAAATCTATTTGATGATCGTCTAATAAAATTACGTAATGCAAGCAAAATCTGTAGGTTATTATGCAATACAAGATTTTATTTGTATCACTTACATATAGAATAGTATAATGAAACTACAGGTAAATATAGTAAGCTAGTTAATAACAGTTCTGATTAATTCATCAACAATCACTTCAAAGGCACTATATTTCACTGAAACTCATTTTACTGACAAGCTTATTTAATAGGCGATTAATTCACAGAAAGTTCATTTCATAAACAGTATAACACTAGTATAATTCATCGATGGCTCATTTCACAGACAAAAAACTTGTCGGTAAAATGAGCTGTCAGTAAAATATATTGTTTACGAAATGAACTTGTCTGTAAACTAATTGTCTATAAAATAAACGTGCCAGTAAAATGTGTATCGGTAGAATGTGATGTTTTTCAAGTAATTGTTGGTAAAATAATACGGATCCTTTTTTTTTTGTTCATTTTTCCAAAATTTAGGATGGGATTGGGATCCAAATCGTTAATTTAATAATATCGATTTAAAAAATTTTAAAATTAATTGGTTAATTCAATTAGTTCAATTTTTTTAATTTGAATGGCTAAACATCTAATAATATCATGTGATATGAAAAATCACTCGGAATACTAGATAGAATCTGGGACGAGATTTGGGATTTGGCCAGGGTTTAGGATTTTGCCGGAGCTTGGGATTGAATTTTTCCACATGGGATTTGGGTTTGGGTGAGATCGTAGTTGTGCCAACATGTATACTTATAAGACAAAGGCTGCACTTAGAGAGATCAAACATAGAACCTGCACTTAGAGTGTGTTGATTGTAATTTGTAGTTGATGTTTTGCATATCGGCTCGAATATAGGTAGCCAGAAACACCAATGAAGCCATGATTATGTGTGAAGGTGAGTAAATTGTATTCACAAAGTCATAATCATATTGTGATCTTTAATTTGAATCATATATGTTTCATAGCTGCTGGGTTTGACGTATGTCTTATTGAAACAGTGGGTGTTGGTCAATCGGAAACTATGGTAGCAGATATGGTTGACATGTAAGTTTATCTTGTCCAATATTAAATAATAATAAACTGTGCTAATGTACCAAAAATATTAAAATTATTTTTACCAAGGTTTATTTTGATGGTTCCGCCCGCAGGTGGAGACGAGATACAGGTAACGTGCATTATCTGTAATTATTAAGATAATTTGTAAAATTCAATATGAATTACTTATTATGAATTTGACATAAGGGTTTGAAAAAAGGTATCGTTGAAATTTCTGATATGGTGGTTGTCAACAAAGACGATGGTGCCTTGGAAAATGCTGCAAGAGAAGCAGTTATCGAGTATACTAGCGCCTTAAAGTATCTTCGGCACAGTACACCGTTTTGGAAACCTAAGGTACTATATATAAAAATATAAGTTAATAATATACAGTTAACCTCCCTAAGTGCACGCTCTGGGGACCAAATATTAACGTGCATTTAGAGAGGGTGTACATTTAGGAGTTAGGTCAGACCAATTTAATTCTTCGTTTAACAATTTTTCCCCTTCTCTATTTTTCATAATTTTATAAAAAAAATACACATCACATTAACCAATCAATTGCAGTATTAGCTTTTTATATTATATTTTTTACAGCCAACAGAGTTGCTTTATTTTTTTAATTTGTGTATTTTTTATACCTTCCCCCACTCTTATGAACTATTTAATGTTATCTTAAACGAAGAATCAATATTTGGAGTGGCCTTATATGTAACGAAAATTATTTTCATGCCCTATAATTTTGTACTTAGCCAATCAGATAATCACAAAAATCAAGTGCTAAAATTAGGGGCATAAAATTATTACTAAAACCACTAGCTAACGTTAAGGGCACGAAACTTTGGGGCATGAAAAGAATTTTCGTATATGTAAAAAGAAACAAGCGAGTCATGTGATAATTAGCCAATAAAATTATTAACGTTCTATCCAATAAGAATTGGCTTGTGTGTTATTATAAACAATTCTTAATTATAATTGGATAATAATCACGTCTGTGCATTTAGAGAATTAAGTTCCGGGTTCAAAATCTCATGCACATGCAGGATTTAGAGGGTGTGTGCTAGGAATGGGTTCAGTCGGCCATTTTCGGTCAACCGTTTTATGACCGACCGAACCCATCCCTAGTGTGTGCACTTAACTCTAAGTCCTAAGCTCGGATGTACACTTAGAAAGGGTGCACTTAGGGAGGCTTGACTGTATTTGCTATTTTACTTGTGGATCTTAATTTGTTTGTCTAGGTTACCAGTGTGTCTTCAAAAACAAGTAAGGGGGTGGATAATGTATGGAATATTATACTCGAATACTTTAACGCAATGAAGGTAAAAATGGTAAAAGATCTTTGGTTTAAATATAGAGTTTTTTAAACTATTTGATATTTTTAGAGTTCTGGCGAATTGCAAATAAGGCGGGGAAATCAGCGAAAATTATGGATGTGGCGTCAAATAACATCAGAACTTCTGAATAGGTATAATACTTATAAACTGTCATTTTCTTAAGTCTCATTTTTTAGTAAAGGATCAAGCTAAAAATTCAATTCTACAGATTGAACTCGGACGAATCTATTAAAAAACTTGTTGATGTGTTAGAAAAAGATGTATTTGATGGGAAAATGACATCTGGTACAGCTGCAGACCATGTCGTTGACGTTTTTACTCATAAAAATGCGCAAGTATAATCCACCAAAAAGTTATACATATATATAGTTTTTTTATACTAATTTGTAATGAAATCTTTAAGTATAGTTCTAAAGTATGCATATTTATTTGATACAAAATAGGCTTGTTTAAAGTTTCGTAAGTCAAAACATATTACAGCTAACTTTTAGAAAAAGATTTAAAAGCTCAGTTTAAAATTTTGCGACAATGTAAAAAATGGTTTAGTTGGATTAAGCGACCTCTCAAACAATGTTACAAATCGAAAGTTGAAAAAATTATTAGTTAACAACTAATCAATTGAAATTTTTAGATACGAATTAATCGATTGGTTGCAACTGATCAGCTAAAGAATTATTGCAGTTTGTAAAATTTTGTAAAATTTAAAAAAAAATAAAAATCACTCAATTGTTAGACGATTTCTGATTATTTAAAATTACTCTGGTATGAAAATTTCACATCCAGATATTGCAGTATTGGTATACTTTTAAGAAATCAAAGATCACCTAACAGTCGAGTGTAGGGAGCATGGTGAAAAGTTGCCAATTAATTAGTTGCCAATCTATTAGTTGTCAACTATAGTTGTGACTAATCGATTTTCATATCATGTGTAAGGTTGGTTCAGTTCCTAATAAAACCATATAGGTTAACTTTTTTGTGATTAGTCAATTTAATTCAATTGAATTTATACAGTTTAGAGTATTTTTACTTTCTAATATAGTAATTTTTTTTAAAAAAATATAATTGTTGTTTATAATGTTATAGAAAACTCTTTACAAACAAAGTTTTAGAGTGTTGATATTTAAGAGCTCAATATGGTCTCAATTGATTATGTTTCACATCTTCAAAATCAATTATTTGACAATTATAAGTTTTAACGTAATTAATAATATAATTATATAAATCATATATATTTTATAAATTTATATATTTTTATGTATCTCTTGCATAAATATACATAATACTAATACATATTTATGCATAAACATGCATAGTTTACAAGAAATATATAAAACATATAAGGAGTTTTTTTTCTTTAAGCAGTCATACTAGTATTTATTAAAAATTTTGAAACTATTTTTGTAATTATATAGATACACCTAGCAATTAAGTTTAGTATTACTTGATCGTCCTAATAGCATTTAAGTGCAATTTGTTGCATTACTTTAAACAGAAATAGACTGCTTGTCTAACTACTTAAAATTTATAACAAGTCTCTTCTAACTTTTTTTAATTTGTTTTTTTTCTTTTACTTATTTTTTTTCTATTTCTTACTAATTTGTTTTTTTTTGTTTGGTTTTTTTTTCATTTTATTTGTTATTCTTTTTTTTTCTTTTACTTGTTAATTTTTTCACATTGTATTTTCTAAACTTGTTTATAGAAAGTATTCTAAGCTGTTCTTATTATTATATTTACAAATTGTTGTTTTGTTTTTGTACTTAGAAGTTTTATTAATTTATTTTATGTTTTCTTTAAAATTAGACTTCTAATTTGTACTTTTTTTATTTTTATTTTTTTTGTTTTTATTTTTTTGAAAAGTATTATATATGTATAATATATATAGTAAAATCTTTTCTATTGTTATATATATATATATAATCTTCTTTTATTAAATTCTTCTAAAATTAGGAGTTTATCTATTATATATTTTATAAATACACTTCTTCTTATATTATTTTTTTTTGTTATATAATATATTACTTTAATAACTTTAGTTTTCTAAAAATATATCTAATCATAAATTATAACTTTTATTTCTAATTCTAAGTTTTTAATCAATCTTAGTTTTTTTTTTTTAAATATTAGAGTGAGTATTTGCAATTCAGGATTTTATTGATAGTATATTTGGCTAATAGATGCTTTACAACTACAGAAAGTAATTATGAAAAGAATATACTACTAGACACTCATACAACTTTATTCTTTGTCTAATTTAAGCAGTTCACTTAAAGGTTTTACACTAGCTGCCATACTTGGAACCTGCTTGTAGGTTTTTTATTTAACTACTCTAGTTTCTATATTCATCTATCTACTTCTGTCTACCAATAACCCTAGCTAATGCTGATAAAAATATGTTATGGGCATTAAGTCTTTAAAGTAATTCACTCATATAGAGAATCTTTGACCTTGTACTAAACCTTCTAGAATCTTCTGTATCTTATTCTTATAGCTAATCTAATATTGCTATAATTGAGACCAACACTAGCAATTAGAATGTATCATTAAACTGTTATATTTTTGTAAAGTTCACTCTAATCTTAGTACTAATTTTACAACATATCTCTACTATTTTGGTATTCAATTCAAGTTCTATCAAGCTCCCAAACCAGATAACCCAGAAAGGCAGATTATAACTGTACATTTTTAGTTTACATGTTCTCTAACATGTAACTTTTTTTTTTGAAACAGATCCTGATAGCCTAATTAGTTCCATTTAGCTCCTTCCTAAAGGCTAGCTCTTTGTCTAGTTTCATAAGTTCTAGTTCTGTTTCATAAATCTAGTCTTTACAGTAGCATTATCAAAGATTTGAGCTATCTTTCTATTCAGGTCTTTCAAGTAGATTTCTATCTTTTTATCTGGTTCTTATAATTTATACAATCTAAGAACTTATCATAGATTTACAACACTCAGTACTAGTTTGTGTTTTTTTGTACAATATTGTACAAATACTTAGACCTTTCAGTTATGTTAGTATGACATAGGTTATAGGTATCTAATTCCAACTAATCACAGAAGACAATTAACCATAACACAGAAAGAATTGCAAATTTTTGCCATCATTGAGATTTAAACTCTAGACCTGCTACTTGGAGGTTAACAACCTATTCACTTTACTAGATTGTTACACCTATCTTGTTTTTTTTTAATCTGTTTTTAAGTTTATATTTGTTATTAGGTTAGTATATTAGTTTATTTGTTTTCTTATTTTTAGCAGTATTTTATCTTATTATGACTAATTTTTTAAGTCTGTATTATTTTTTTAGTTATTATTTTTTTTACAAAACTATCAGTTTTGTTATTTTATTTATCTTTATTATAACTTTTTATTTTAACTAATTTTATTTATATATTTTTGTCTTAATAAGGTCTATAATCTTTATTATCTATATTATATATTTTTTTTTAAGATTTTTATATCTGTTTGTCTATTCTAAATCTCTACTAATGTTTCTTATTACAATATTACTGTTTGTATATATCTCTATTTGATTTTTTTGATATTATTAAAATTGCTACTTATATTTTTACTAATTCATTTATTGATAATATTGACTATTTTTTTAGATTTAGTACTATTTCTTTTTTTAATCACTTTTGTATTTTACTTGTTTGAACTTATTTTACACTTATATTTTTATTTGATATTTCTTTTTTAGTTTTTATATTTACTATATCATCTGCATATATAATATATTTGTTCTTATTTTTTATTACACAGTTAGACCCTCCTAAATGCATCTTTTCTAAATGCATTACCTTTCTAAATGTATGATATAAGTTCAGTTCTATAATGGAACTTATGAATAAATGCACATTCTTTATTCTGTAAGTGTATACTAATTGTTTGGCTCACTTATAAAAACTCTTTTTATAAATGCATCTATATGATTATTAGCCAATCAAATTCATTATTTCTAGGCTATTAAAACTGTAATAATAGTTATATTGTAATATTATTAATGTTCTTTAATTGCAACACTTTCTAAATATACATTCTAGAGCCAGTTTCAACAATATACATTTAGAGAAGTCTAACTGTATTTATTCTTAGAGCTTTTATTAGATTTTAACTAATATTCTTTTTTAGTTTCTATTACTTGATTATTTTTACTTTTAATTTTTTTTTTTTTTTTTTTTTTTTTAAAGAGAGGTCTATCCTCTATCTCTTTTATTAATTAGTTAATTATACATATATGTAAGATACATGATGAAAAAACTATACTAGAGAAGATGAAGGTAAGAGCTACTTTACTCTCGACCTATTCTTTGCTAGAATGGACAGTAAACCTCTAGTCTTTGATAAGCTAATGGAATGAAGATTGTCTCTTCATAATATATAGTAGTATTTTTTTATTTAATATAGAATCTGAAATTAGTATAGTTTTAGTAAAAGTTGGTAGTTGTATAGGAGGTGGAATTGGAATAACTGATTTATATTGTATTGCTCTAGAAGTGAGCCATATTTTTTTGTATATCGCTGAGATGATGTTGTAATGAACAAGAGGTGCATATTTATGTTTGTGCTTGTTGTTCTCGAATGGTGCTAAAGTGTCATTCATTATTATTTCTAGTGGCATTTGTTTTTTGATGTGATTGTGAATAAAGGCTTGAATAAATTTTCTTGTATACTTGTAGCATAGTTCTAGCTTGTTTGCAGTTTTGATTAATATATATTTTATTAACGTTTCAATATTTGGATTGTTTCTAATACATGTTAGAAGGTGTATAATAGTTTCTGATATATTATAACATCTTGCACAGAAATGGTTTGGATGTTT